TCACCCAATCATCCTGCCTTATAATTGCACCTTGTCCCGTCTCATAGTTCAGTTTATTCACAAAATTTCCCTGCATGGTGAGAATCAGCTCATGCTGCGCTTGATCCGAACACAGTACTGGATACCTAGGGTCAAAAACTTGATTAGGTCCACAATTCATAACTGTAAGGCTTGCACGATTTATCGCAAACGCGCGCAAACTCAGTTAATGGGAATTCTTCCCAAGGAAAGAGCGACATTTTCGCGAGCGTTTACAAATGCGGGAGTCGACTTCGCAGGGCCATTTGACATTAAAAGTTATAGCGGCCGAGGTTGTCGCATGTCAAAGGGATATGTCTGCCTATTTGTATGCTTCGCAACAAAGGCAATCCATTTGGAAGCCACTTCGGACTTGAGCACTCAGTCGTTTTTAGCAGCATTTGCCAGGTTCATCGCACGACGAGGCTGTCCAAAAAATATCTATTCCGACAATGGCACCAATTTTGTGGGAGCTTCTAGAGCTCTGAGAGCCGAAACAAAAGCCTTTTTGAAAGACGCCCGCGATAACACTTTGGCGAAATACGCTCACCAAATGCTCTCGTGGCACTTCATTCCCGCCTCAGCTCCCCACATGGGCGGACTGTGGGAAGCGGGAGTTAAGTTTTAAAAGCCACTTTACGAAAATTGCTTCCAACCACAAATACACGTTTGAGGAATTTACAACCCTATTATGCAGAGTTGAGTCCTGTCTCAACTCTCGACCCCTGAGTCCCTCATCAAATCAACCAGGAGACCTGGAGCCACTGACTCCAGGCCACTTCTTAATCGGTGGACACATACTAGCTCCACCAGAAATATACGCTGATGAAAATCGTGCCTCGATTGTAAATCGATGGCAGAGGCTCAAGGCTCTACACCACACGTTTTGCAAACGGTGGAAAAGTGAATATCTCACGGAATTGCAGAAACGCAACAAATGGAGATATCCGCAAACCAATATGAAAATTGGAGACCTCGAGATCATCAAAGAAGATAACCTGCCGCCAAACGAATGGAGACTTGGAAGGGTAGTTAACGTCCATCTAGGTGCAGACAATAGGGCAAGAGTAGTGGACCTCATGACTGAAAGAGGACAGGTTACTAGACCTGTAGTCAAGCTGGTTCTACTACCCCCCTGTGATCAACAACATAGCGAATCACAACCAAGTAACGACTCCATTTCATAAAAGCCTAACTTATTCCACAACCACAATTCGCAAAATAATACAGTCCACTTATACGGATATAAATCATTACTGCGAGATGCTCAACAAACTATATGAATCGATTTCGTTTTGTTGATGCGCAAAATAACTTATCAAAATAATTTCGTTTCTTTTCGTTAAAAGCAAGAATAGAATTATTTTGATAATTACCTAAATGATAAAAAACTGAATTGTTTCAACAGAAACGATTGGTTTATTTTGGTAAACGCTAAAATTAACGTTACAATGCATACATACTTGCTTTTGATATGTATACACATACACACGTACCCCAGGAAATCATTATAAACGAATGGAGTTTGCGCGAACATAATATACTACGTCCACCAAATTCAAAAAAAAAAAAAAAAAAAATTCAAGATTCCTTTAATTTTATTTAAAGTATATCTTACTAGGAGCTTTCGTGTAAAAAGGTTGGGAGGAGCGGTACGTTGCCTACATGTTTTTATTCCTCCTAACCTTGCGAAATTAATACAATTGTGTCGCAATCTTTATATCGAAGAATTGCCTACATAATATGTATATGGGCTGCATGAATTCATTCAAACTTCTAGCCAAACAGAGTACAGTACATTTGAATATTTTACTTCACTTACAAAACACTCAGCGTTTGGAATTTGTAAGTTATGAATATACATTGTTTTTAAATTGTCTACCTTTAAATGGAAGAAAGTGACTGAATGAATGGAAAACATTTAAATCATTCAAACTCATTTGGCCACACAAGTTTTCTCGTATGTAATAGGAGCGCAGCAATACATACATACATACATATGTATGTTTGTACATATGTACGAAGAGAAAATATTTCTGGATATTCATACAAAAAGTTGACATTTATATCAACTCAATTTATTTTCACTTTGTCGACACATATATCTGAACAGCTATTCACTCAGATTTAAAAAAAAAATAAAATAAAAATTTTAAGCTAAAATCATTCATTCGTTTTGTATATGAATAATTCATACGCCGTTTGAATGCATTCATGCAGCGCTCTCCTACATATCACCGCAAGGGATGGTTATGGACTTTCGTCATTACACCCGATTTACATGATTCAGGTACTTTGTGTTTTCTATTTGCTTTTACACGTTTCAATTCTGTTGAATTCAAGTTATGGTTCGTTAAATGGGAAGCAACGAAAATGACAAAAGCAAAGCAAGAAAGTTTAAACGACTTGACGGTACAGACGCATGTGTACTCGTCCCTTTTGTTCTCACCCCCTCTCTTCCACATGCGAGCAGAATGGAATTCAATACTTGAACTGTGTAAAAGCAGTCTAATAATAAAGAGGGTTATAGTACTCACAATATTCCGGGAAAAATTACCAGACAAATTACAAACGGTGCTGGCAAAGAATTCGCTTTCCTTGGCGTTGTTCATAACCCTCGTGGTTGCAGAAATTAAATCCTTTTGATTCGATGTAAACTGCTTTTAAATACAACTCATAACCATGGAGTAATGATGAATAAACACGCGCATGTATGTCATAATCTGTGCGATACAGATCCTGCAAGACTTCAAATTCGCATAATCGATGCAAAAGTTTTGGCCAAATGCATGATTTGTTGTGCGCTATTTTGCAAACACTTTTTAGCTAAATCCAGCATCATCTGAAATGGAAACGAAAAGATATTAGTAAGATAATAGGGTTTACATAAAAGATTCATATTATATTAATTCATATTTCACGATACTTCAATGGTTGTCTTTTTCCGTTGTTGTGAAAAAGTAGTTTGGAGTATACTTCAATTTCTTGGCAGGGTTCGTTAATAAGGACCGTATCGTACTCGGCTTTTCCACCACTTCCTTATAATCACTTTGTTGGCCGCACGACGCCGTAGAAGTGCTGCTGGTATAGCTCCATTCTGCAGTTTTGAAAATCTGCCCTGTGAAGTTCCCAAGAGCCACGCACTTCCATTCAGCATACTATAATTCCTCATTCATCCTTCAGGCGAACTCGATTACGAGTTGTAAATATGCCGTACTTGGATGAATGAGGGTTTTGGGTGGAATATCTCCAAAGAAGGCTAAAAGTAGAAGGTAAAAAATATCACATTAAAATACTATGAGAAAAATACGCAACTTACCGCATCGTAATCACTCGTGCCATTCAGGAAATTGTTATATGTGCTGCAATTGCCATCAATGAAAGTGTCATTTTTAAAAAATAGTGATGTGCAGAGTTGCCCCAATACTCGGTACCCAAAGTTTCGGTATTGGTAACCGATACCGATTCAATGCAATATACCTTAGTAGTAATATAAGTACACTTAAATCACCTGTTGCACAATTTCGGATCCATTTTGTTTTTTTTTGCAGAAGAATAATAAAGGTTCACATAAAAATGAAGCGTTCTCTGAAATTTCGACAACGAATGACTTTCAGTTATTTAATTTTTGTTCTGTACCCCCTGAAGGCGCTGTGGACTCAGTACTCACAAAGAATTCCGTACATAGCCCCTTAATAAAAAAAAAATAAATAAAATTAATAATAATATATATATATATATATATATATATATATGTATACATATTCATTTATTTATTCCAATTGGAATTTGTAAGACATCGCCTCAAAGTTCGCTAATGAGCTTTATCTCTAAAAATTTCTTCCATACGTTTGGCTGTCGTGCGCTTTTGTTAGAAGTTGTTTAATAGTCCGACACCGAGTGTCGAAAGTATTGGATACTTTTAAATAGGTACTATGTATGAATACTCATATGTGTGGACTCAGCACATCTCTAATACAAGAACGTAAATTTCAATTTACGCTCTTGGTTGACAGCGCAGCCAGGGTTCGGACTCCCCTACGATCGGTAAACTGAAAATCTACTACGCAACTCGATACCGGCGAACTACTTAGATTTGCTCGGGACAAAGCAAAGCGTATTAAATATGTTTTCCCTTTTAAATAAAATCATGAGTTATTAAATTTTGAAGGGCCCTCCAACTTAGTAATTTTCAGATAAAGCATTAAGTTGTGATACTCCCAAGCACATATATAAGCACCGGTGTACGAAAATAAACTATAATGCACGTTACTATTTCATTTCGTTTATTCCTTCAAGAGCTCGCTGCAATACGAAAACAAAACGGCTGAGTTTACTTTGCGATAGTACACTACAGTAGTTTAGGAGTTACAGACGAAACAACAAACGAAATGAATTGGGCAGAGAAAAAGATATGTATGTATGTAATTAGTACATGTCTTTAAATTAAATTGAATATGAATATTTACGAATAAAGAAATATATTTTTTCACGTAATCGAAACGTTTGCATACATATAAAACGTACCCTATGGTACCATTGTCACAAACGAAAAACAAGTCTCTCGTTGGGGAAAATGAAAGTGAATCTTACAAGTTGGTTCTGACTATGTACAAAACTGTATAAAACTACAAATGATATGATGATCGATGAGCCAATGGGAATTGTTTGGTACAACCTATTTTCGCACGCTGATAAGCACTTGCGATGTTCCGCACCATGCGAACAAATAATGAGCTTACTTTTGTTTTGGGTGGCAGGCCATGTAATTACACTAAATTCATACTTTGTTCTAACTTTTTATCTGAATCGGTTTATTTATCGAAATGAAGCATTTAGTTTTTGTTCTCAATATAGTTTGTATAAAAATCAAGACGGCCACACTGTTAGCCACAGCCAAGTTGGCAGTCACTAAAGCATTTATAAATAAAATGTGAGAACATAACTAAATGGCCTAAAAGAGATACCGTGATTTGTTGTTTGTTGTTGCTACTTCTGCTGCTGCCTTTTCCCCAATGTATTTGTTTGCTATTAACCATTTTAATGGGCCATGAGGTTATTGTTTTGCTTCTTAGGATCCAATAAAACTGCGACGCCTTACAAACACAAAATCCATCAAGCTTGTGATTAGTTCGCATTGCCGATTTGCTCCGGACCTATAATTTATTGTTTTACAAGGCTCATCAACAAATACTATGCATGTTTTTAGTTACCTTAAATCAAGTTGTCAGGCGTTCCAGCCCACTTGCTATCTGCGATTTTTTTTGGTTGCCCTTACCTACTTACTTTTGTTTTGGGTGGCAGGCCGTGTAATTACACAAATTAACAAAATGACAACTCACCGATGCGAGCAGAGAAATCAAAGTCGATAACCGTGTGTCGATGCATAAACATGAGGTGCCTCACACACTTTACGCAAAACTCATGCAATATTATGCACACTATACACTATCAAAAGACAGTGATATATGAGACCACCCGTACCATAAAAAATACGAAATTTACAATAACCACACATAATAAAGTTTCTTTGCTACTCGCCACCCAACCATAATATACATATATATACAAGTACGTATATCTATATAGCCAAATATACACAAAGGGAAAAAATAATGATTTCAGACATCAACGATGACTCGCTTCACCTCGATGAGAAAGAAGGCCGAGCAACAATCAAACCGCTTTGCTCTAGCGTGCCGTTTATGCCAAGGTATGCATCCGATACGGCTCTGCCCATCATTCCGCGGTAAAACTCCCGAAGAGAGACTGAGGGAGGCACTGATTGGTCGCTTCTCCGGAAACTGCCTGTCCATGATGCATCGGTCTGACGAGTGCACGAGCGAAGAAAGATGTCGTCGGTGCCGCGAAAAACACCACACAACGCTACACATGGATGACGAATCCGAACCCCTTCAGCCGATTGATACACGCCCATGGAGCGAGCAAGTTGCTAGTGAGGACGAGTCCGAACGTGCGTTATCTATCAACGCGTCCGACCACGCAGATGAAACCAGTCCGCTCCGCCTAGAAGATGAACCAGCAGAATCCACACCGGAATCTGGGACTCCCCTCCCGACTATAACCAGGGGATCGGAAACTCGGCCTTTCCGACCCCTGTTAGAGGACGAACGACGCCGAGAACGTGGATCGGAAACACGGCCTTTCCGACCGCGGTCAACAGCCCGGCAGGACCGTAGAGCGGAAACTAGGCCTTTCCGCCTGCGGCAAAAGCGAGAGGAGTCAAACAGGCCCAATCGCGATCAGGGTAGACTGGAGACGAGGCCTCGCCAGCTATCCATCGCATTTCGAACGGGTCGACTCGCACGCGAAACCCAAGCGTTACGACCGGTGACGTCTATTGCTCCGACGGTCGTGGTAAAAATAGAAGCTTGTGGACGGCTGCACCTTATACGCGCGTTGATCGACGTATGCTCTCCGACTTCTATAATTGCGACAGATTTAGCGGTAAAACTCAGGCTTGACGTTTCAAATTTCGGAACCCAACGTGGCTGTCTACTGCGTCTGAGGGGAAAACACGGCCAGAACACCAGGTTGGCTATCCACGCCACAACGATAAACAATTACGTCCGTGTTAGCCCCACTAGTAGCGTCGATCCGTCAGTAGCGACAGCGTATACGCACATATGATTAGCGGATCCAAACTTTTATACGTCGACACCGATTCGCTTAGTACTGGGAGCCGACGTATACCCAGACATCGTACTGCCGGGTATGCTCCCAAACACGTTTGGTCCCTTTATCGCCCAAAGCAAAAATTTTGGATGGATGCTCTCAGGAGTATGTCGCTCCTAAATTAAATTTTTGATTTTTTTTGTAAACATGAATTTTTTACTGAATTTGGAAATTTTTTATCAATAAATGTGCTCTGAAATGTTCAACCATACCTTTTTCATTAGTATTTCTTCCTTATATTCCTTCATTAGCTAGGAAACTAAGACGTGGACACCGGAACTTGGAGGCATCCTGCCACTGGAAACAATAATAATCTTTTTTTTTCTCAAATGAATTGTTATTTTACATATATTTAGACTGTTTTTTTCCACTTCTTAGTACTCAGTCCGGCGTGGTGGCTGAAGCGCTCGACCGATGTTGCTGATAGCAAGGGGGGCCGGCATGTTTAAGCCTTCATGCAAAACCAAATGATTTAAAGGTCGCACCACCCTAATGTAAAAGTGCATTGACTTGAGCCGACCACACAAACACACTCAGGCATATATACGGCCTACCTTTATTGCTACGCCGTTAGCAATAAATGTATTATTTCCCGTTGTAACATACTTTCGTTAAGTTTCCCCTCCGAGCAGTTGGCTGCCGGCGGCTAAACTTAACTTTGTCAAAGCGGGACCTTTTCACTTCATTCGAGCTATCAAGGAGACCGGACGACTTCAGCCATCACCCAGCGATACATATTAAAAGGTAATCATATTGTACACCCACTGATTTATTTGATAATAAAGCCACTTGAAATTCAAGCTATTATACACTAATACACTTGGTTGTGTTTTTTCCATTTTTCTTTTTTCAATTGACATTGGTGCCACTGCGGGAGTTGCGACCCATTGGTTCACCGATCGTTCAGATAACTTAAATGAAAGTTGTTGAGAAGATATCCGTATATCTGTGAGGCATTTCAGTTTAGCGATAATGGCAATCAAAATTCGTTTTGCAGATACGGGTGCTTAAAATATTTATTTAAAATTATATTTTACTTAGAAATTTTCCTTAATTAAAAAGGAACAAAAAACCAACATAACATTTCATTTCCCGAAAGAGATCACGAAAATTTGAAAAGCTAGACGTAGGCAGATTTTCAAAGCTGGGTTAAGTATGATGGGCTGCGATCAGAATTGCAATGAACCAACGCCACTTCACGGTGCAGTGAAATAACGCCCGCGGAAATATCGCACATGGGCTTTATTTCGTTTTTTTAGGACACAAAGCCCGCGGACATTATTGCCTTTTTGGAAAGGAAATATTTCCCACGGGCTTTATTTTCTTTTGTCGGTGGGCTTTATTTCCTAAAAAAAAAGAGAAAGGCTCTTGTTTACATTTAAGAATGCATCCAAAAGCCCCCGTGTTTTATTCCAATACTAAATCAAAACTAATTTGATGATTACATTAAATATTTGTTTCCCTTTGTTATAAGAGGAAACTCAAATTAATGATTTTTAATGCATATATTTAATGCATACATACATACTAGAGTCCTGCACGATTATGTCAGTATCGTACGAGTACGTTAATAACTAACACTTTTGACGATTACCACGATGCCAAAGTAGCGAAGTTACTCGGCACCGCCGCATCGTCGCATCGTACGATTACTAACAGCATCGTCGATTAGTAACAGTATAATTCTGCTAATAAATTAGCATCGTCAATAGCAGTGTGACCAGATAATCCCAAAACCATATTTACTATACTTGCATAGTGTATCTTTTATTTAGTTCGGCATAAATTAATTCATAAATTCATAGAAATTAAACATATTTCACTTTAACTATAACATACAGTAGGAGTTAGAAATAAAAAAAATATTGATATCAATATGTTATTTCTTGTCTTTTGAATGCAAAAATAAAATGGCATCCAAATTTTTTCCTTTAAGATTTGTTCTTCGTTCTTCCATAACTCGATTTGCCACACTGAAAGGAATTTCATTCTCATGTCGCCGCCACCAATGCAAAACATTATTTTCTAAGTGGCAAATGTTTTTGTACACTTTAATTTGTACATTTATTTGGCTTTCGAAATTATTTTCCGTCAGCAAATGCACGTCTTTATATTTCGATAACATATCACGATCAATACCAGATTCCATTTTTGTGCATTCAGATGAGAACTGTTGGAAATTTTCTGGAGATGTAATGTTTGAAATTTTTATTAGTTCAGCTTTTACTAAGTTATATATTTCCTCACGCTCGGATTCGCTTAAATATCTCACCTGTTTATACTCTGGCCAGAAAAAAGCGGAAATCTTATGGATTTTATCTGGACAGAACTTTGCATCAAAAATATTATCCAAACAGTTTGAAACTATCGATCGGATCTCATTATTACTCTCTTCATTTAACAGATTCAACATCTTTTCTCTAAGCATATGCATATGCAATAGCACTAAATGTATAGTTGGATTTTTTTTACCTTCTAACAACAAAGTTAGGCTTTTAAATGGTTCCAAAATGTTTATTATTCGGTCTAGTAAATATTTCTCAATTCCGATTAAACGATGTGTTTCTCCAGATTTATTAAAAATATCTTCAATAGCATTAAAATTTTTGCGAATGGAGCACAACATTTCAAATTTAGTGTTCCATCTAGAAGGAAATTCTTGCTTTACGGTCGTTTCAAGCATTTGGTTTCTTCCAGTCCGCTTTAGATTTTCCACAAGGGACTTGCATTTGGTTATCAAATCCATAACATGGGGCGCATGACTTTTAAGTGTTTCTATGTCGAAAGTATGCTTCAAAATAATGTTGAGTATACATATATGCAATGCAATTTATTCTCGAATGATGTTGTAAAGCCTTTTTGATATTAGAACCTTGATCAGTAGTAAAAGTAATTTTTTTCCACAAATCTCGAGCCAAGTTCAGCTCGTCGAACTTGGCTTCTATAGCACCAAGAACATTTTCTGCAGTTTTCTTTACAGCAATCCCATTGTCATCACAACATTCAAATTCGTCAGTGAACAAAATACGGCTAAAAAATAGAAAAGTATGTAATTGCATATGCAATATAAGTATGTACTACATATACATATATTATCATAGTAATACTTTTATCAAATAAAGAGCAGATGTAAAATTGTTCATACTTTTGAAGCTGTCAGTTATTGTCGATATAATGCACAGTAAAGGCAATAAAGTTTCTTTGTTTTTTGCTGTCTGTCCACATATCCAACGTAGGAGCGCACAAACCTAAAAAATTATAAAGTATTCTTAGACCAAAAAGCAATATCCGAGATAATCGGGGTATTTACAAGTGTCGTAAGTAAACCATTAAAAACTTTATGACATAAGAAAGTGTGGCACTAATGACACCTTGCCAATCCCCTAAATAAACAATAGAATACACGAACCATTTTCGATAATGGGACGTATATCAAGAATAAACATTTCACGCTCTCTAATGTGCAACCTGTGCAATCTACGACTTATAGTAGTGGAATGTGGTAAAATATCCTCAATCGAAAAATTGTTTGTGCCAATATTAACGCCAACTTCAACTAAGCACTGTGCCAATTCCTTAAAATCCTTTGCCATTAATGCTGTCAAATGCTCGAAGATCTCGACAAGTGTACTTCATACAATACTGTATGATTTTTCACGCAATTGATCACTGATGTTAACTAGCGATCGC